TGTGGGGGTGTGTGTGTGTGTGTGTGTGTGTGTGTGTGTGTGTGTTCATGCACTTCCCTGTGCTCTTGCTGAAGTCACTTTTTATTCCCAAATCTTAAAGACAGAAATACGGCAATCATACTGGCCACTGACTCTCATACCTTTAAACCCACATCTTGGGAAGAGAGCCAACTGTTTGCTTGATGATGTCCTGACAGTAATCCCTAGTATAGTCCCTTACCTTCATCAAAGGCCTCAGACTTTGGGCCCAGGAAATATCTACTACCTCAATTACATTTGCCTGAGTTCCACTGAAGAGAAAAGACAATGAATTTCTTCACTAGAGGTCTTTGCATTTTACATTTAAGGAAAGCCATGTCAGCTCATATAGGATATCTCCTAGGATCACTATATGTTGATTATACTTTTTTCACTGTCCTTTCACCCCCAGAAGACAGAAGGGCAGCATGAGGAGGGAGAACCAGAGCAGCGTGTCCAGCTTCCTCCTCCTGGGGCTCCCCATCCCGCAGGAGCAGCAGGGCGTGTTCTTCGCCCTGTTCCTGGGCATGTACCTGACCACGGTGCTGGGCAACCTGCTCATCGTCCTGCTCATCAGGCTGGACTCTCGCCTCCACACGCCCATGTACTTCTTCCTCAGCCACCTGGCCTTCTCTGATGTCTCTTTTTCGTCTGTCATCATCCCAAAGATGCTTGTAAACATGCATACTCAGGATCAATCCATCCCCTATGCAGGGTGTGTAACACAGATGTATTTTTTCATATTTTTTACTGACCTGGACAATTTCCTTCTCACCTCAATGGCGTATGATCGGTATGTGGCCATTTGTCAACCCCTCCACTACATGACCATCATGAAGGAGGGACTATGCTCCTTACTAGTGGCTGGATCCTGGATCCTCTCCTGTGCCAGTGCCCTGTCCCATACCCTTCTCCTGGCCCAGTTGTCCTTTTGTGCTGACAACGCCATCCCCCATTTCTTCTGTGACCTTGGTGCCGTTCTCAAGCTCTCCTGCTCAGACACCACCCTCAACGAGCTAGTCATTTTCACAGCAGGGGTGGCTGTCATTACTCTCCCACTAATGTGCATCCTGATCTCTTATGGCCGCATTGGGGCCGCTATCCTGAAGGTTCCATCTACCAAGGGCATATGCAAAGCCTTTTCTACATGTGGCTCCCACCTCTCTGTTGTATCTCTGTATTATGGAACAATTATTTGGCTCTATTTTTTCCCCTCATCCAGTACCTCCAATGACGAGAACATAATTGCCTCTGTGATGTACACCGTGGTCACGCCATTGTTGAACCCTTTCATTTACAGCCTAAGGAACAGAGACATGAAGGGGGCCCTGGAGAAACTCTTCAACAGAGCGACAGTCTTGAATCAATGACATTTGCTCATCTTTATAACAGACACGTTTGTCCCCAGATGCTAGCCTCCTAATCTTGAGCCCGGGATGGAGTAAGTGCTCCGTAAATATTTGATAACTTGTATTACATTCTGTTATAGTTATTCTCTCTTTTCCTTGCAATTCTTTAGTGTAAATTGTGAATTCCGACTTGATATTATTGATTGTTGTTATTGTCTATTAGATTGAGAAACTACATGGCTAGTAGAATTTAAGTCTCTCCTTATTTCCTGGGAATTTATTAGTTCTTTTTTAAAAACAGGTGTATTGGGTTAAAATGCACGTATAAACATTGTATATATTTAAAGTGTACAACTTGATGTTGTGATATGTAAACGTCATGAAATGATCACAAGCCAATTAATATATCCATCACCTCCACATAGTTATCCTTTTATTTTACTTTTGCGTGTGTGTGTTAAGAAGATTTAATTTATGATCTACCCTTCTAGCAAATATCAAGTCTACAATATAGTATTGTTAACAATAGTCATGCTGTACATTAGATCTCAAGAACTTATTCATCTTGCATAACTGAAACTTTGTCCATCATGCTAGGTGAAATTAGTCAGACTCAAAAAGACAAACAGTACATGATCTCACTTATATGTATAATCCAAAGTAGTCAAATTCATAGAAGCAGAGAATGGTGGTTGCCAGGGGCTGGGGAAAGGGGGAGAGGGGGTGATGCTGGGAATTTATTAGTTCTTATGAATGGTTGGAAGATATTGGCATAGAAAGTGTATGGGATTGGGAATTGGTAAAGTTATCTCCTTTCCTTTTCTCACCATCCATTCAGCGTTCTTCTCATGTTCTTCGTTGGTGGTGGTGATGATGATGGGTCAGGAGAAGAAACTATATAGCACCCTTTATAGCTCCAGGAAATTACCCACAATTATGAGTTCAGCTGCTCCATGTAAGGGCTTGAGGCTTCTTCTGGAATTCAGGAACACAGGTTGCTCTTATAGACTACAATTCAGTAGTTCACTCAGACCAGTTACCTAGCAAGCTTTCTGACTGTATGCGTGTTTCAATCAAGACACAGGCTC